GAAAGGAAAGCGCAACGGGGCGGGGAGGGGGGAGGGGGGGGGGCGCTTTCAGGCCAGGCACTTCCTAACGCAGAGGTCGCCGGAAGGAAATGCACGAGGGCGGCGTTTCTCGGGACCTGCCATGACTGGGCTCTTCCAGGGAGCTTTCGGGTTTCCATGTCAAGTGTCTACGCTGGGCACGGCAGGAAGGGCGTGGGAGTGCTCGCGTCTCTGGTTGCTTTGCTCGTCTGCTTGCTTTCGTTCCCTCTGCTTCTCTCTTTTTTTGCCTCTAATATATAAAACATATACACACACGCACGCACAAGCGCACACACACACACACACAGATATATAGCATGTGTATGTATATTATATATATATATTATATTATATTATATATATATATATATATATATATATATATATATATATATATATATATATATATCATACAATCATAATAAATTATTTATTCCTTCCTAGACCCACGCACAAAACCGAGCCTTCACATCCTCCTGCAGCGGCGGCGCAAGGTCGGAGTGACAAGTTTTTAGCGCGCGCGGGCAGCCCTTCCTTGCCTTGAGTGCCGCCGTCCGGGAAACGGCCAGCCACATTCCGGCTACGCATCCGCATGCATCACCGCCCGCCCGCCCCTGCGTCAGCCCGTGCTTCCTCCTCCGCCCACTCGCCGCCCACGCAACCACGCCCTTTAGAAGGGAGAGGAAGCGAAGGAGGAGGATATATATTATGTAATTCATAATATATATATAAGAGAGAGAGAGAGAGAGAGAGAGAGAGAGAGAGAGAGAGAGAGAGAGAGAGAGAGAGAGAGGAGAGAGAGAGAGAGAGAGAGAGAGAGAGAGAGAGAGATTGGGGGAGGGGAGACTACAAGAAAAGAAACGAAGAGAGAATCCAAACCTCATCTAAAGTGCAAGCGAGATTTCCTGGTCCGCTACGACGAACAGGGTGGGGAAGCGTTTTCTGGAATACAACGGGAAGTACAGCTTCTCGTGCAGGTGCAGGACGCTTCGCCTGGGTGTCCCCTTCGCCCCGAACGCTTCAAGCAGAACATGAGAAACGCGCACACACCCACACGCACATACACACCCACCCACACGCACATACACACCCACCCACATGCATATACTCACCCACACACGCATACACCCACACACACGCACATACACACCCACTTACATATCCATCCACACGTACATACACCCCCACCACCCACATGCACATACACACCCACCAACACGCCACTACATAACATCCCCATTAGACGAGCCTGTGTTAGAGCGACCAAGTCTGCAATGAGTGACAAGCGCCTGGACACTTCAACTTTAACATGTCCTTATATGGTTCTGGGACGACATAGGAAGAACCTCGAAGGGCATCTGCGTTTCTCATCCTTCAACGCTCGGCCTGGGCGGGTGCGCGGGCGGGGGACTTCAAGGGGACGCGGTTTCGGTTTTAGGAGAGTACGAGAATGCATGCATTATCACACCCCGAAAAGGAGGGAAGGAGGAAGAGAGAGAGAGAGAGAAATTTATGACGAGATGGTGAGATGAGAGAGAGGAAAAGAAGGGGAGTGAGTGAGCGAGAGGGAGAGGGGGAAGAGAGGGGAGAGGGGGAGAGAGAGAGAGAGAGAGAGAGAGAGAGAGAGAGAGAGAGAGAGAGAGAGAGAGAGAGAGAGAGAGAGAGAGAGAGAGAGAGAGAGAGAGAGAGAG